GTATTCCTGGGATGAACCTTATTGGGTCTGGATGTATTATCCTTTTTACATATTGTTTGATTCAATTTGTTAATATTCTGGCAAGGATTTTTGTATTTATGTTCATGAAATACTGGTCTATAGTTTTCCTTTCTTTTACTGTTTTTGTCTAAATTTGGTATTAGGGTAATGATGACCTCAAAATATAAGTTGGCAAGTGTCCCTTATTATTTGATTTTATGGAAGAGAATGTATAGAATTGGTGATATTTCTTTCTTAAATGTTTGGTAGAATTCATGAGTGAAACCATCTTGGCTAGGTGTTTTTTTTTTTTAAATTTTTTACTACTATTTCTTTAGTAGATTTGGGACTATTCACATTATTTACTTTTTCTTGAGTAAATTTTGGTAGTTTGTGTCTGTCTTAGTCTGCTCAGGCTGTCATAACAAAATGCCATAGACTGGGTGGCTTAAACAATGGAAATTTATTTTCTCACAGTTCTGGAGGCTAGAAGTTCAAGAATAAGGCAGCAGCCAATTCAGTTCCTGGTGAAAGCTCTTTTCCTGGTTTGTAGATGGCCACCTTCTTACTATGTCCTCATGGGAGAAAGAGGGTTGGGGGTGGGGAGCTATCACTGGAAAATATCACTACTCTTCCCCTTTTATAAGGACACCAGTTCATTTGGGTCAGGGCTCTACCCTCATGACCTCATTTAATCACCTCCTTACAGACCCTATCTCCAATACAGTAGTATGGGGGGGGGGGCAGGGCTAGGGCATCAACATGAATTTGGGGCAAACAATTCAGTCTATAGTAGCATATTTGTAGGAACTGGTCCATTTCATCTAAATTATCAAATTTATGGGCATAAAGTTGTTTCTGGTATTCCTCTTATTGTCCTTTTTTTTTTTTCAAAGATTTTATTTATTTATTTGACAGAGAGAGACACAGTGAGAGAGAGGACACAAGCAGAGGCAGTGGGAGAGGGAGAAGCAGGCTTCCCACTGAGCAGGGAGCCCGATGCGGGGCTCAATCCCAGGACCCTGGGACCATGACCTGAGCCGAAGGCAGATGCTTAACGACTGAGCCACCCAGGCGCCCCTTATTGTCCTTTTTGTATCTTCAGGATCAGTGATAAAATTCTTGACATTGGTAGGGTGCCTGGGTGGTTCAGTTGGTTAAGCGACCACCTTCGGCTCAGGTCATGATCCCGGAGTCCTGGGATCAAGTCCCACATCAGGCTTCCAGCTCAGTGGGAAGTCTGCTTCTCCCTCTGACCCTCTTCCCTCTCATGCTGTTTCTCTCTCTCTAATAAATAAATAAAATCTTTAAAAAAAAATTCTTGACATTGGTAATTTGTCTCTTTTCCCTTCCTTCCTAGGTTAGCCTGGCTAGAGGCTTATCAATTTTATTGATATTTCTAAATAAAGAGCTTTGGGTTTATTGGTATTCTTGTTTTTTTTCTCCCCATTTTCAGTATCATGGATTTCTGCTCTAATATTTACTATTTCCTTCCTTTTGTTTGCTCTTCTTTATCCAATTTCCTTTTTTTTTTTAAAGATTTTATTTATTTATTTGAGAGAGAGAGACTGAGAGAGATAGAGAGCACGAGAGGGAAGAGGGTCAGAGGGAGAAGCAGACTCCCTGCTGAGCAGGGAGCCCGATGTGGGATTCGATCCCGGGACTCCAGGATCATGACCTGAGCCGAAGGCAGTGGCTTAACCAACTGAGCCACCCAGGCGCCCTTCTTTATCCAATTTCCTAATGTAGAAGTATAGGTTATTGATTTTAGGCTTTATTCTTTTCTAATAAATGCATTTATTGCTACATATTTCCCTCCAACCACTGCTTTAGCTGCTTACCATAAATTTTGATAAGCTGTATATCCCATTTTCATTTAGTTAAAAATATTTTTAACTTTGAGACTTTATACCTCTACATTTTTTGGAAGTGTATAGCTTAATTTCCAAATATTGGAGACTTTTCTCTTTCTGTTACTGATTTCTAGTTGATTCCATTGTGATCAGAGTACATACTCTATGTTTTAGATTCTTTTAAGTTTGTTGAGCTTTTTTTTTTTTTTTTTTTTGGCCCAGAATGTGGTCTATCTTGGGGGATGTTTCATTTACATTTCAGAACAATGTGTACTTCACTTCTGCTGGATGGATTGTTCTATACATGTCAAGTAAGTCAAGTTGGTTGAGAGTGCTGTTCAGGTTATTTATATCCTTACTGATTTTCTGCCTGTTTAATCTATCAATAACTGAGAGGGAGGTTTCAAAGTCTCCAAGGACAATTGTAGATTTTTTATTTCTACTTTTATCTCTATCAGTTTTTGCTTTATGTAATTTGATGGTCTGTTATTAGGTGCTACATTTTTAGGATTGTTACATGTTCCCTTAAAGAACTGACCCCTTTATCACTTTGTCATGTGCCTCTTTATCCCTAATAATCTTCCTTGTTCTGAAGACTGCTTTGTCTGAAATACAGCTAATACTGGTTTGATTATTATTTGCATGGTGTTTCTTTCTCCATCCCTTGATACTGTCCCACAGTTTCTGAATACTGTAAGTGTTTTTGTTTTCTATCTCTCTCTCTTGCATTTCAGTTTGGGTAATTCCTATTGACTTATCCTTTACATTTACTGATTCTATCCTTGAATGTGTCAAGTCTACTGTTAAGACTGTTAAGGTCATTCTTCAAATCTGTTACCATGATTATGATTTAAAAAAATTCTTTCTTATAATTTTATCACTCTCCTGACATTACCCATCTGGTCTTTCATTTTGTCTTTCTCCATTAGAGTCCTTAACATAGTAATCATAGCTATTTTAATTTCCTGACCAATAGTCTCCACACCTGTGTCACATGTGAGTCTAGTTCTGACAGTGCTCTGTCTCTTCAAATTGTTATTTGTTGCTTTTTAACATGCTTTGTAATTTTGTTATTGTTGAAAGGCACATGTGTTGTATAAAGCAGTAGACATTGAGGTTAACAGGACTTTAGGGTGAGTATTTATACCACTCTGGCCAAGAGATGGGTTATGTCTGATGTGTGTTGTCTCTATGGGTACCAAAGGCATTAAATTCCTCTAGTGACCTTGTTTTTGTCTCCCCTCTTGGCCTTCCTTGGCCCTTTTCTTAAGGCTGCACTTCAGAACCAGTCTGTCTCTTGCAGCTCTCCCAGCTGTAATGCACTGTTATTTTAACTGGTTATAATGTATGGGGGAAAAGGGCACTGTCTAATATTTGGATTAAGTCTCAGTCTTTGGAGTGAACAATGGGCCTATGTCTTTGAAGTGTAGCCCTCACAATTGTTTTTGTCCCTTTCCAGGGTTATGGGTTGAACTGTATTCCCCAAAAAGATATTGAAGTCCTAATCTCTAGTACCTGTGAATGAGACTTTATTTGGAAATAAGGTCTTTGAAGATAATCAAGATAAGATGAAGTCATACTGAAATAGAGTGGGTCCTAAATCCAACTGGTATCTTTATAAGGAAAGATATGTTTGAAGACACAGAAGAGACACAGGGAAGAAGCCATGTTATGACAGGCAGAGAGTGAATGATGTTGCCACAAGTCAAGGAACACCAAGGATTGTCAGCAACCACCAGAACCTAGAAGAGGCAAGAAAGAGCCTTTGGAGGGAGCATATCCCTGCCAATGCCTTTATTTCAGACTTCTAGCTTCCAGAACTGTGAAAAAATAAATTTCTGTTGTTTTAAGCCAACTAGTTTATGGTAATTGGTTATAGCAGTGTTAGGAAACTAATACACAGGGGTAAAGCTTTTCTCCCCTCTGCTACCTAATACTTTACCTGGCTGTATCATTCCCAGTCTATGCCTTTGAAACCCACTTCCCTATATACTGAGGCTTTCTTTTATTTCTTTTTTTTCCCCTTACATGAGATAGGGAGACAGAGTGGGACTGGAGTAGAGCAATGTTCCCTTCCCCTTGCTGGGATGAGATTATACTGCTGCCTTAATATTATTTTTGTCTTTCTTGCAACCTGTAGGATAATCTTGGAAATAAATAGCTAGAGGTCCTCAAAACTCCACAGGAAGTATTTTTAGTCCACATAAGAAGTAACTGATATTGCACAACAATGTAAATATACTTACCACCTGAACTGTACACTTAAGGAATGGGTAAGATGGGGCACCTGGGTGGCTCAGTTGGTTAAGTGGCCAACTCTTAATTTCAGCTCAGGTTATGAACTCAGAGTCCTGGGATACAGCCCCGCCTCAGGCTCTGTGCTCAGCAGGGAGTCTGCTTGAGGATTCTCTCTCTCCCTCTCCCTCTGCCCCTCCCCTCACGCTCTCTCTCTCTCTCAAATAAATAAATCTTTTAAAAATGGGTAAGATGTGGGCGCCTGGGTGGCTCAGATGGTTAAGCGTCTGCCTTCGGCTCAGGTCATGATCCCAGAGTCCTGGGATTGAGTCCCGCATTGGGCTCCCTGCTCCGCGGGAGCCTGCTTCTCCCTCTGTCTCTCTCTCTCTCTCTGTGTGTCTCATGAATAAATAAATAAAAATCTTAAAAAAAAATGGGTAAGATGTTAAATTTCATTTATGTGGGAATATATATAATGGAATATTACTCAGCCTTGAAAAAGAATGAAATCTTGCCATTTGCAATGATGTGGATGGAACTAGAGAGTATTATGCTAAGCGAAATAAGTCAGAGAAAGACAAATACCTTATGCTTTCAGTCATATGTGGATTTTAAGAAAGAAAACAAATGAGCAAATGGGAAAAAAAGAAACAGAGAGGCAAACCAAGAAACAGACTCTTAACTATGGAGAAGACCCTGATGGGTACCAGGGGGGCGGTGGAGGGGGATGGGTGAACTAGGGGTGGGGATGAAGGAGGGCACTTGTGGTGATAAGCACAGTGTTGCGGGTGTTGTATGGAAGTGCTGGATCGCTATATTGTACAGCAGAATCTAATACTACACTATATGTTAACTAACTGGAATGAAAATAAAAACTTAAAAAAATAAAGTATCTGTCTCCACATGTCTTACCAAAATGATCTTCATGTTGCTGCCAAGCGCAATTCAGAGACTCGGAGGCTGTATGGTGCAAATGGATGGCTAATGGAAATAAGCTTTTGAAGTTGAGCTGTTGGAAGGCCCAACATGTGACTCCTCTCCTCAGCAGGTTCTGGAGCCTGCTTTGTAGGTGGGACAACCTGTGGCACCACATCCTAGAATATTTGACAATAAGAAGAGAGAGTCAGTAACAGTATTAAAGAACTTTTATGAGGTTGTAGGAATAATACTATAGATGTAACTATATGAAAGAGTAGATTTAATTATCTCATCTATAGAGGATTAAACAAAGGAAAAATTCTGAAAAACTGAGCATAAGTGGTCCATAACCATTACTTCCATTTTCTCACCAGCTACTCTTACTTTATGCCTTGTAATCTTACTTCGATCATACTATTTAACTGAAGTGGTTCTTTAAAAATTCATTAATTTTAACCTTCCAACCACATATAAGAATTGCTTTTCAGATCTCATCCTTCTGGGCCTCTCCACTTGTGACACTATTAATCACCCTCACATGACTTCTTGAAACTTCTTTTTTCACTGATTATGTGTGATTGTGAACAAGTTACTTAAACTCTCAGTGACTCTGGTTTCCCATTATGTAACATGAGGATAATAATAATACTTATTTCATGGGTTTAGTATGAAGAGTAAAGTACTTAGAACTGTGTCTGTCCCATAGTAAGGCCTATATATGTCAGCAGCTATTATTCTCATTTTTATAATATTTAATGTTAGGGATAACATGTATCTGTTGGTAAAAGTACCTTGATAAACCTGCTTAGATTTGGTGACTCCTTCACTGTTATGGTTTCAGGAAGATTAATTTAAAAACTTCATTTGCATAATACCTTTAAAAGAATTAATTTGTCCTGTGGGAAAAGAGGGAGAAAGCCATGTACCTGCAGAAAAGCTGTACAATGCTTGATGTGAACCTTCTCAGTAACTCCTTAAGGTCACTAAACCCATAAAAAGCTTATTTTCAGTGCATATGTGCATGTGTGTGTGTGGTGTAAGCTGATGAAGGGACTGAATTTCATGCTGATGTGGGATGACACCAATCATATACAGAAAGGCCATAGCTAGAGATGTAAGAGAATATGCTGATGACTTGGGGAGGGTTCCAGAATAATAGGCTAGGAAATCAAGAACTAAAGTCAAATTTATTGAGATTTTATGGGTGCAGGCAAGGAGCAGAGCATAGGGAGGCCTCTGCTGATATCTGGGTTACATTTATGTTTTCTATTGTCTCGTTTCCAAACCTCCTACCTACAGGTATCATCTAAGACAGAGGCTGGCAAATTATGGCCCATGCTTATTTTTATATAGCCCACAAGCTAAGAATGGATTTTACATTTTTAAAGGGTTGTAAACAAAACCAAAAAGAATATGAAGCCAAGACCATATATGGCCTGCAAAGTCTACTATATTTGCTATTTGGTCCTTCAAAATATAATTTTTCCAACCCCTGGTCTAATGCTCAATTTTTAATCAAATACTCTTCTCCCTTTACATTGGATTACTCCCCCCAAAAAACAGTCTTAAGCAAGCATATTTATTCATTTCTTCATTATTTCACCAAACAAATATTCCCGAGCATGTGTATAACAGGTACTTTCTTAAGTACTGGGAAAATAAACATAAGTAAGTCTGCAATCGCAGCCACCATTCAAGAAGCTCACAGTCTAGTGGAGAAGAAAGACAAAGGGTGAAGCTACTACTACTTATGATATTTGTAAACACAGAGTACAGTGAAAAAGTGCAAAGGAGAAAGCAGTTAACTATGCCTGGTAAAACTGGGAGGCTCCACATGATCTACGTTATTTGTAGAAGTGTTTCATTGTTTTGTATTTACTTACAAAATAAAATTTGCTCATGTGTAAAAAGAAAAAAAGGAAAGAAAAATCAAAACAACACAGAAATATATAAAATAAAAAGTGAAAGCCTCCTTTCCTCAATATTTGTCATTCCCATTCCTTCAAGAAACCTCATCAACAATAAACCGTTTGGAGGACCAACTTCCAGATCACACACAGTTGAAATCTCCAACCTTCTATACACACATACAAAAATACATTTGTGCATTTGATAGTTTTCAGGTCACTTGGGTAAATATTTAAGAGTGGTACTAATGGGTCACATGCTAAATCTATATTTAACATTATAAGAAACTCTGAAACTATCATCCAAAGTAGTTGGACTATTCTGCATTCCACCAGCAATGAATCAGAACTCCTATTCTGCATCCTTGCTATAACTTGGTATTGTCAGTTTTTAAAATTTAGCCATTCTAATAGTTGTGCATGATACCTCATTATTTTAATTTGCATTTCTCTAATTATATATGATGTTGTACATCTTTTCCTAGTCTTAATTGCCATCTGTATATCTTCTTTGGCAATCTGTTCAGATCTTAGTGGGTAAAAGATCTGACTTTCGGGGCACCTGGGTGGCTCAGTCGTTAAGCGTCTGCCTTCAGCTCAGGTCATGATCCCAGGGTCCTGGGATCAAGCCCCGCATCAGGCTCCCTGCTCCGCGGGAGGCCTGCTTCTCCCCCTCCCACTCCCCCTGCTTGTATTCCGTCTCTCGCTGCGTCTCTCTCTGTCAAATAAATAAAATCTTTAAAAAAAAAAAAGATTTTATTTCTTTAGAGAAGTCTTATTCACAGCAAAATTGAGGGAAAGACAGAGATTTCTCATATAACCCCTTTCCCCACACATGCATAGGCTGCATGCTTATTAACATCCCCCATCGGAGTGCTACATTTGTTACAGCTGATGAACCTATATTTACACATCTTTATCATCCAAAGTCCACAATTTACATTAGGGTTCCCTCTTGGTATTCTACATTCTATGGGTTTGGACAAATGTATAATGACACATATCCATCATTATAGGATTATACAGCATATTTTCACTTTTTGACTGCCATAAAAATCCTCCCTGTGATGAATTTTGATATGCAATATTTCTATTCTTCAGTTAGTTTAAAATATTTTCTAATTTACATTGTGATTTTTAAAATTTGACCTGCAGGTTATTTAAAAGTCTACTACATATTTTAGGGAGATTTTCTAGTTTTCTCATTATTATTTTCTAACTTCATTTCACTGTGGCCAAACAAAAACAAACAAAAAACCAGTATAACTGTAAGTGTTTAAGGTTTTTGAGACTTGCTTTATGGCTCAGGATATCATCTATTTTTCTGTGTGCATAAAAAGGATATTACAAAATACATCTCTGTCTAGTAAAGATTCCTACACTTTGAGTATTTCTCTACTAACTGACTTTAGAGCCTGAGATTTCCATATTAGTTCAATCTTTGAAGTTAGGCAACACAGGGATCCTGTTACCATGTAATCTGGGGCTACTGGTACTTTTATAGATATAGTTTATCAGAATGATTCAAATCCTCAGTAAACATTTAATGAGGAAATCAAGATACACCTGAAGTAGGGCTGCTTGTTGAAGGCAGCTTCAGATAAAACTGGCACTGAACGAGATCCCAGGTGGTGGGAGAGCAAGACCTCAGCGGGTAAGAGACAATAAGAACAGGAACACGCATGAATGGCAACAGCTCTATGCGAGTGGCAAAAGCCAATTATTCCCACCATTGGTCTGCGCTGAAAACAGTACACGCTGAAAACAGCAATGATGGTGGATAAGATAGGCCTGCTGAGGTCAGTTCTCCCATCCCCTGCAGCCCTCTAGTTAATGGCTCACTAGGATCCATACTAATAGTCACGTACACAGTTCCCTGCTGCCCCTCACGTGATTGCTTTCTTGAGTTGTTTTTCCCTCCTTGCTTCCGCATACTTTACATTCTCCGATACGATAATAAAACCGAGAGTCCACCGGACTGGGGGCCTCACCCGCGCCCGCACTTCCTGTTATAGTGCTATAGGCGGTGCACCCGCTTCGGGCTTGTCTGTGTTCCAAATTATTGGACTCAGTAATCATTTCGTCTCTTGACAAGCACACTACACGGCACCAGGTGGTGGTGGAAAGACCCCTGAAAAGGGAAGCCCTGAAAAGGGGGTAGCTGTACTCCCTTTTTCCTAGAAAAAAAAGTCAACTTTGTCATTAATATATTTACTTCTGTTGTCTTTTGGATAGTGTTTGCATTGTATATTTCTTCCACCCTTTTACTTTCGATCTTCCTATATTTTTACAATTAACTTGTGTTTTTTACAAATAGCAGTTATATTTTGTTTTTTAAAGTTTAATAATCTTGGTCATTTCATTAATGTGTTCAGTTCATTTACATTTAACATAATTATTATTTTTAAAGATTTTATTTATTTGAGAGGGAGAGAGAGAGCGCACAAGCGGGGGGGGGGGGCGGGCGGACAGAGGCAGAGGGAGAAGCAGACTCCCTGCTGAGCAAGGACGTGGGGCTCGATACCAGGACCCTGAAATCATGACCTGAGCCGAAGGCAGATGCTTCACTGACTGTGCCACCCCGGCGCCCCCTTAACATAATTATTGATATATTTAACTCTAGCTATCAATGTTTGCTTTCTATTTGTCTTGCCTGTTCTCTCTTGCTTTGTTTTGCACTGATTAGGTAATTTGTATTATTCCACTTCTTCCTTTGTTTACTTGTTAATTATACACTCTTTTACTGGTTTTTAAAAAGGAGTTATTCTAGGGCTTACAACATGTTATCTTTGATTCCTTAAATTGTAATGCAAATTAGAAAATTATTATTAACTCCATTTCTACTCCTTCCACAACTACTGTTATATATTTTAATTAACACACATATCCCACATGACATGACATTACTATTTTTGTCTTATATAATCAATGGACATTCAGATCTACCCACTGCATTCCATCGTATAGCTCCAATCTTTTATTTGGGATCATTTTGCTCCTGCTTGAAGATCATTAGTATTTCCTTTGGAGTTTAGTGGCAGATTCCCTGTTTTGGACCATCTAAAAACACCTCTTTTACTTTCATTTTTGAAAGCTATTTTCACTGTATACAGAAATTTAGATTGAAAGTTACCTCCTCCAGCATTTTTGAAGATATCATCCAATATCTTCATGTTGTTTTTGTTGGGAAGTCAACGCCAATCTAATTGCTGCTCCTTGTAAGGTAATACATTTTTTTCTCCAACTGCTTTTATGTTTTCTTCTTTTTA